TGGCCCCAATCAAATCTGGGAGCTCTGTTGCGGTATAACTGGAATCTTTTTTTTTTTTAAAAGCATTGCCATAGTTCAAAACACAAGCCAATGAAGCAGTGGCTTCCTTTTCTGTTGACCAGTTAAAGCTGTGTACATATTACTGTTTACTCTGCATCCAGTAACCTTCATTACAGTGGTACCTCAAGTTACATACGCTTCAGGTTACATACGCTTCAGGTTACAGACTCCACTAACCCAGAAATAGTGCTTCAGGTTAAGAACTTTGCTTCAGGATGAGAACAGAAACTGTGCGGCACAGCGGCAGCAGAAGGCCCCATTAGCTAAAGTGGTGCTTCAGGTTAAGAACAGTTTCAGGTTAAGAACGGACCTCCGGAACGAATTAAGTAACCCGAGGTACCACTGTACATATTTTTAGGCACCAGGTGAAACAGTTTCTCTTCAACCAAACCTTTGGCTGATTAATGTTATATGGCTTTTAAAATGTGTTTATGGGAGGAGGATTATGGGTTTGTTTTTGTATTTTCTGTTCTCATTTTGTACTTTTATGTTGTGAACTGCCCTGTGATTTTTGGATGAAGGGTGGTATGGTATACAAATTTAACACACACACACACACACACACACACACTATATATATATTATATATATCCTATTGTGCTCATGTGCAACTCCCATGAATTTCAGAAGGGTTTGCAGAGGAGAATTTCTCAGTGGATTGTGTTCTTAATTCTTAAAAGTCAATACAAAATTAAAGAGATATTTCAGTAGCCAGGGAAGTAAGCCTACTTTAAATATGTGAGAAGGAAACATTTCTTGTAACAGTTCCCAATTACTCCAGTTTCATTCCTTATGGTATTTCAGAGAGCAAAACCCAAGAGTCGTGCAATTATCATTATGTTCTTATTCCTGTAACAGGTTATATGTGCTAATGAAGAAAAACTAATTACATAGTAGTTGTAATCAGTTACCTAGCAAGCCTTTCCCCAAGCCTCCCTTCCAAACAAATGCCTGATTACATCAGAGCCCATCACATTTCCCCTTATTAAAAATGAAAAAACATACACATAATGACCCAGGAAGTAGCTAAAAGAACAATAGTTGGGTTTTGCCTGCTATTAGAACTTTGATCTTCTTTGATCAGTGCTCAGCAGTTTCACTCAACTCTCTGTCTTTAATTTCATGAAACTACTTTCAATGAACTTTCCATGTGCTCTTCTTGGGTTAAAAGAGATCAGCACCAATTTAGCACACTGAGAAAGCGAAGCATGCACACACACATACCCATAATGTTTACTTTGAGAAGGGGAATCAGCTGAGCATCCAGCAGTTCTCAGCTGTGTCCCTGCATGGATTTGTGGAAGGCTAAATGGTAGAGACTGTTGATAGTAAGTAGTAGAGCTAAGACAAAAAATGATCAGAAATCATTTGTCTGAGGAAATTTCAGAGTTCCCCCCACTTGCTAAATTCCCACAAACTATTAAAAGAAGGCCACTTTGCAGAATTTTCTCAAAATATTCCCATCATTTTCTTCCCATAATATGGAACAACTCTAGATTGTGGTGGGTACAAAATTATGACCAGGTTGCCAATACAGTTTCTGTTGTCAGCTGAAGTAGCAGAATCAGGGGGGGAAATCCCGTAGGAAAAAGAAATAAGATATGCTATTGCCAAGGTCAGTGCTGGCCCACCCATGAGGCAAAGTGGTGACTGCCTCAGGTGGCAGAATCAATAGGGGCAGCAAATCCAGCCTCCAAAGTATGTATTGTCCACTGCTGTTGCCATGCTGGCCCTCAATGCTGCCTCTGCAGTGGCCTCTTGGCAAATAGGAGGCACCACTGATCTGATCCCACCTTTGTTCCTGATGTAGATATTCGCTCATTCCTTCTTCCCTGGCCGGTGGAGGTCACAAAATATATTGGGCTTGTCCTAGCAAATGAGTCCCAGTTGTGGCTAGTGCTCACTGGGCTGGTAGGGCAAAAGGCAGAGAGACCAACAGCAGATGGGACCAGAATTAATGACAGGTAGTGCCAGCTAATTCTATTATTGTTCCTATCCTTTTCCCTCTGGAGTTGCACCAGGGCAGCACTGAGACTAAGGAAGAAGTTGACAAACATTTCCACCCCCTGGAATAGTTGCAAGTAAGAAGGCAGACAGATGGTGGCAGACAGAGCACAAACTGAGGTTGGGGGAGCAGTGCCCCATTTGCCCTGATGACCTAGCTTCCATTGTTAAGCCCCATCCAAACGGTGGGGGGGGATTCCTTTTCCCACTAGAGAAATGTCTTCCTTTACACCAATGCCATGTTGACCAGCATCAAGTAGTTATTAATATTAGGGGGGGGGGTCCCCCTTTGTCTGTACACTTAGGGGAGGAACTAAGATATAGGAATGATACAGGAAACAGGAACAGCCAATGATAGCTTGGCTGTTTTCAAATTCTTCCACTTTTGGATTTTCAGTTATTGCTTTTCTAACTTATTGAAACTGTACTTATCAATTGGTCTGAAAGTTTCTTTAATGGATCATCTGGAGGAATTACAGCTAGGGGCTAATTAGACACCTCTGTCCCACAGCCTGTGCCATATGGTATCAGCAGCATGTGAGACCAAATTTACCACTAAGAAAAATCAGATTAATAAAGTTCTGATCACCTCAGAATTGCTGGATTAGTCAGCTATTTTGGGATAAAGGGGCTTTGTTATTCTGTTGCTTGTTGAAGAGCACGCTCTTAGTATGAAACCAACAATCAAGTGCACTTCTGTTCAGTTCATAAGGTTACTTAATCAATGAAGTCCTACCCTCAAAACACAGAATCCAATTTCTTTCCAAATAGGTGTTTGCAGTAGCTTGATAAGTGGAATATAATGCTATACTACTGCAATCGACTCCTGAATAGATAGCATACACCTTAAATTAATCCCATTGAAATTGTTGCTGCAGATGTTGAAAGGAGATGCATTAAGCTCGACCTGGACTCTCTAGGACTGAATTCACAAATGTATGACATTATATGACAAAATGGAATAAGGTGTATTTTACCTGACTTTCCATTATAAAATAGCATAGTAAGAAATATTTGAGGAAAAGAGCACCTGAGTATGATTTTGTCCATTTCCTACCCCACCTTCATTTGGCAGCAAAACATATCTTAAAGTTCTTGGTAATGCTGGAAGTTTAATGAAATGTAAAGTACAATCCTCTACATGCCTACTCAAATGGAAGTCTTATTGAGTTCAACAATGAGGCAAATGGGTGTTGGACTGCATCTTAAGCCCATCACAAATTTTCAGTAGGTTTGCATGAAAAAACACATTACAATAAATTGGGATATTGTGCAGATAAACAATTTTAAATTCACAGGTTGAGCTGAGCAAGCTGTGGCATGTTTATGAAACACTTTACCCTGAGTGGTGAAAGTCACTGGTATCTGCCAGTACAATATACCACAAAGATAGTGATGCTGATTAATTGCACATGAACTTTATCAGAATGACACCTCTTTAATAATGTGTTAGGTAATTATTTTAATGTATTAAGCACTTGTTTTTATTTAAAGTAATTGTACATCTTAATGTATTAAGTAACTGCTCTATTATTATTATTTTCCCAATATTAAAGTAGAGTTCCATTTTTCTATTTTAAGGTGCATTAGCTTGTCCTTCTGGTGTGTCTCCTAAAAGCCCAGAAGTTTGTTCTGGATGAGGCATATGCTTCTTATTCTCAAAATCTCTCTCTCCCCCCCCACCTCTGCTTTTTTCTGTTTTTAAGCTAAATTCAAGTTATCAAATACTGATACCATTTTTTAAATACCTAGGCTGATGGGAGCTCTAAAAGATATAACAACCAGGAGTGAAGTTGATGTGCTTAAAGAATTAAGATGGGCAATCTCTCTCAAGATCACAGAATCATAGAATTGTAGAGCTGGAAACTCTACATTTTTATTAGGGGAGACCCGATATAGTTCATGCACACCTTTTGTATTTAATGGATTGTCTCCCAAATATCTATTTTCTTTTTCCCCTACTACACACAGAGTGCTGCACTTTTAAATATCAGATTTAGTCAAGAACTGCTGAATAACCTTGGCAAAACAAATAATAATCACAACAAAATTAAGATTTATTTAGAAAAAAGGTAATTCAGGCATATAAAAATAAATTTAAAAGCATGCTGTGTACTAGGTAGCTTTATTAGACTTAGCTGATGTTCAGTGCACTCCTAACTCCTTTGTGGATGATGTGTGTGGCAGTGGGGGTGGGGGTGGTTGCTAGGACATTATCCTGGCCTCCACCGTGCTGCTTGTTGTCAGAGCTCCACCACAGTGGCCACCTGAGCTTCACCAAGTTGAGCAGGAAGCTATTGCCAGCAGATAATATTAAAATGGAGCTTGTTACATGGGAGTATTGGTGGCTTTGGGTCCTATGTATGCAAAGCTCCATTGTGCCTCTGTGTAATATGAGGACTGGGACCCTCAGCTGCACCAGTCTCAGACTGTCCAACTGCCCCTATTTTCCAGGGACATCCTGAATTTACAGAAGCCACCTCAGTTTTTTATTTGACCCCAGCTTTTCCTTAGGATGTCCCTATTTTCATTGGAGAATTGTTGGAGGGTATGGAGTTATGTGACCCCAGAGCCAAGTGGATAAGTAACTATACAACCTTTAGAAGACATCTGAAGGCAGTCCTATATAGTTTTATGTTTTATATGTGTTGGAAGCCACCCAGAGTATTATCCTCCTCCTCATCATCATTATGGAATAGGACGTCCCTATTTTCTTCAGAGAAATGTTGGAGGGTATGCAGTCTGGAGCAATTTATTGTCTCTGCACCAATTCTAGGAAGCAATTCTACATAGATGTATGCCACATGGACAGCAAAATCGATCAAGTATACCAAACAGATAGCAACCTGATCTCTTTTTCAGAGGAGGGGCTCTACTGATGTGGAGTACAGATAGGCTGTCAGGCCTGATGTTTCGTGGATTTTCTTTTTCTTTTTAACCAAGCACTAGCAATCTGTTTAAAGTTTTCCATTGACCAATGAATTAGCATGCAGATTATACAAAGGGAAGGCAGGAAGACAACTAACGAACAGAGTCTGGCACTTTATTAGATCATATAGAAAAGCATTTTCAACAGCTGTTTTACAAGTGTGTAACTCCTTCTCATAGAAACTACTTAAAAACTACTACTGGTGTAACCCCCTTTTTTTGAACTGTTCCAAAACATTTTGTGGTATCTGGGCTGAAGTTTGGGAACGGTGGTTAAACTGTATTGGAAGTTTCAGCAGCAATATGTTTTTGGCTGTTTTAATAATAGTATTTCAAATGTGAAATTCAAGAAGGGCTAGTTTCCTCTTTTTTATCTTATTGTTATCCACCCTATGATTTCAAGGTTGGGCATCTTTACATTTAAATAATAAAAAACTAGCCCAAAACCTCAAGTGCAGGCTGCTGTGTATCCAACCATTTCTAACAGACCATAAATACAATTTCCCCTCTATTCTATCACCTTTAACTTCTCATTACCATATGAATTATTAGTTGAGAGTACAAAAATGGAAGTGTTCATGAAAGCTTGCCCAAATGTGCTGTATCTACAGTAATGGGGAATTTAATTTTGTAATCAGTTCCATTCTAACTGGTAGAGATGCTGAGGTTAAAAAAAATATGCTGCAAACCAATTTAACTGGAACCACAAGCATGCTTAATAGTATCTGCCCATGAAACTACCTTCAATATAACCCTACGCTGTTGGATCCCAGCACTATTTTCAATTTTCATTTGTTAGATATATGATCAACCATGTCAAATCTGCCCTGAGTAATAGAAGTTGGAAAAATAAAATGAAGTCATTTACTTAAAACATTTTGATAGCTATTTGTCCAAAAAATCCTGGTCAGATTTTGTGCTCAAAGGCATTTACCTACAAAGTTAACCAGATGCTTTGAGAAGAAAACTAATTTAATTTCACCGTTATCTTAACAGAACATCTGTTAAACCAATATCCAAAGAAGGTAATGTGTTCAAAATTAAATATCCTGCAGGTAGCCTTATTAGAATACACGCAACACTGAAATTTAACTGCTAACCACTTCATTATAAATGTGAACCACAACAATTTAATTATTTCTTTGATGGTTATAAACTAATAAGGCACCAATGCATCTCTAGTGCCAAATCACTCTTGTAGCTAATATGGAAGGATTAATACAATGAACAAATCACCACATTGTCATGTTAAAAAATTAATTTCCTACCTTTTAAACATTACAAAACACTTAGTATTTTTAACTGGTGTGTTAAACATCCTTTTGAAATGTAACATTTAACTGACTCATTACTTAAAATTTAATACTAGGAAGCTGGAAGTGCTACCTTAGGTATTTGTATGGACCTCAGGTCCTCAATGCATGCTGTGCATGAGAACCTCAACAGTCCATTTCATTATGCTCTTACTGTTACAGGGCTCTCTAGTAGGACTAATTCAGCCAGCTAGCCCTAGTGACTATCTAATGCTTATTAGATGGATTTCCCCCAAATTGATTTTTGAATTTTATTGTTATTCATGTTTTTATACTGTATTTTATGCTGCCTTTACAATTAAGTGTTTTAATTTTGTTGTTAGCCACCCTCAGCCCGGTTTTCTGAACCGGGAAGGGCGGAGTATAAATAAAAAATTTGTTATTATTATTAGTGTTTTATATGCACTATAGCACTGTGACACCAGATGGCGATGTGGAGTCCCGTCTTTTGCCAACATGATTTCTCATTATGAAGTTTACAATGTGTTTTCCTGAAACACGTTTTTTAATGTGTCTAGAGATCCAGCCCCTGTCGCTGATCTAGCCTTACAGATAGTCTTTTGCACTCCATAAATCCCAGCAGCTGCTGCTGCAGCAGCAGCATGTCAAGGTAGACTGCTGCTGCAGCAGGTGTCTCTGGATCAATAAGGCTGAATCACAGCTAGGGAAGGCAGTCTTTTGCTCTATTGGGCACTGCACCAGTGATTTTCCCATGCATGTGGATATCTCAGTGAACTTGTCATTTTATGCTACAGCCAGGAACATGCTTCATCACCGTCTCACAAAACCTTTCCAATTATAGATGTGTGGCATATTATTCTTTCACATATTCCAGAGCTTTGCCCTAGCACAAATAGGGTGGCCATGTGTGTTACTTTACAGAGGACAATTCTCTATTTGAAGGTCTGTCCTGCTCCTTACTGCAGAGGTTTTCAACCTTTTTGAGTCCACGGCTCCCTTGACCAACTACATTCTTTCTGAGGCACCCCTGTGGGGCTCAGGAGCCCAGTTATGTCACCCCTTGCCTGCAGAACTGGCAGCCCCTTACCCCTTTTTGAACAGCCTCCCTTGTGGAGTATTCCCTCAACTCCTCTTCTCTCCCCTCTACTTGGGAGTCCTCTAGGCAGCCACTGCCCCCCCCCCAGGTCTCTGAGCTGCCCCCTCTGCCCCAAAGAGAGGTGTTTCCCAGAGGCACCATTCGCCTGGGGAGCTTATAGCCAGGGCTACCGCAATAAACATGTGTGCAAGTCTTTGTGAGGCAGAGACATGAGAGGGCATCAGAGGAAGGAGGGAAGGAAAGAGGGAAAGAGGGACAGAGGCCAGCGTTGCCCACAGCACCCCTGTCCATCGTTCAAGACACCCCAGGGTGCCACAGCACACTGGTTGAAAATCCCTGCCCTACTGACTGGGTGGTGGGCACTAGAAGGACTCCTATGTTGTTAATTAGGTTAAACTGCTCTTTAATCCCATTACCTCTGGTGGTTCAGGTGAGGGAAGGGGAGTAGTGACCCCCTTTACGCACCTTTTTGGGTGATGGGCTCATCCTGAAGCTTGCTCTCTGGGCTCTGGGGTGGGATAGGGGCTGCCCTTGAGGCTAAACTGCTTCATTGAACCAAAGCTATGGGGCCTCATGGCGTGTGGGGTGGAATAGCATAGGCCTTCCTTCATGGTGGGTCTTGGGAATGGGAGGCAGGCTGGACAGCATTTCATCCAGGTCCTGCAGGCAGGGCTTTTGGTTGCCCTAAAGGCTGCAATTTATTTCAGATTCATGCTTGCTTCTGCACCAGTAGTGCTTCCCTCAGCAGGGTTTTTTTTTATGGGTTTTAATCTTAAATAAAGCAGTCCTAGTTCAACCCACCCCATGTGTCTTCTTTATCCGGCTAACAGGTTGCAATGCAGTTTGCTCACTACCATCTAATATGTTCATAGTTGGTTTGGTTTCCCATGTTCAGTTTCAATACTATCTCAAGTAGAAGGCACAGCTCTCCCCAAACCCATTCAAAAAGATTTAGAAAGGGGAAACAAGCAAGGGAATGTCTCTGTTTATAACTCCCTTTTCAACAAATGTAAGCATTCTCTGCTACTATAATCCGTGGCTTGATATTTAGTATCTCCAATTATTTGTCTCTTTGGAGTAATTGTTTATTTTAATGTGTGACAGTTTATCCTCAGTGACTTGCTACTAGTGCTTCAGACAATCATTCTGCCTACATATCTTTTGCACAGGGACAGTGAGAGATAAATATGTACAATAAAATTAAGGCAATGTAAAATATCGTTGAAAGAAGCTAATATCTTTAAATCCAAACTATATCTTTGAAGCTAGTTAGGAAGCTTCACCTAGTTCAGCCTGTGTTTGCATGACTGCAATCTGGAGTGGGAAGGAGGGTGGTGTTTGCAAACCAGAGCATATTATGTATGCATTAAGTTGCCTTCACTGGCTACCAGTTTCTTTCTAGGCTGAGCTCAAAATCACCTGGTGTTGAAAGCAGTCTTTAAAGCAGTCTAGGAATAAAGTCCTTTTCAGAAGCTAGCTCACATGTTAAAATCAACATATGAGCTGGGCAGATCTAGGTAGCCCCATCCCAATAGCCCCCTTGATGTCCATGAGTTGAACATGTGTGAAAAGATAAAACCTACATGTGTAGGGCGCTGACATCAAGGAACTGATATCAAAACATTTAAACAATAAAATTAATTCATTGCTGATGTTCTATTTGAATTACTGAACTCTATACAGGGCTACCACGAGAATGGTCTGGAAACTGCAGCTGGTGCAGAATTTATGTAGTAAAATCCCATCTGGTTGCTTGGGCTTTCTCTGACCAATTGAACTAGAAACTCTGCACTATTATCTGTTTCTTGGTTTTTAGTTTCTTAGTTTTAAATTGTTACAACATGTGTTTTTACTGTTGAATACCACTTTGAGTTTTCTTTGTCTAAGTAATTTAGAAATATTACAAAAAACAAATAAAACAAAAACACAGAAAAATAATACCATAGTAAAAAATTATCAAAACTACAGTGCAGCAGAAACTCATAAATCAAAACAGGACTAAAAACAAACCATTGGAAACTAAATATATTTAATCAACTAGCCACAAAAGTCTTCCCAAAGAGTCAGGCCTTAAAGGAAGGCTGAACAAAAGTAGTCTGCCCCATTCGATGGGGATGAAAGTAGTAGGGCATCAAGCTGAATATCATCAAAGAGGATGGTGGATATTTTCTACAATAGTCAGTGTTGAGAAGGAAGAGAAAATTCTCAGCAAAGCCTTTTCTGAGAAACTTCAGCTCAGTTAATACTGAATGAAACTATATTGTTGCAGTTCACACTGGTGCATAAAAGAAGAAATGGGCTTACAGGGGAGGACTGGAAGTAGGAGGGCAGTGGGACAAATGTGTGATGTTTGTGCCATATTAACAGTCAACACTGGCCCTGGAGGAACAGTGGATGGTGTAGTAGGGCACTCATTTGACCAACCATCAGTCATGTTGCTGCTAAGTAAGAGGTAGGGGGTGGCAGTAAAGTCTGTATGGGCAGATCCAATCTGGTGCTTTTGCCAGTGTGCTTGCAGCATGCTGACCTTGCCATCACTGGCTTGCCCCTCCATCTCCTGGAAAGCAGCAACAACATGACAAATCTGAGGTGTGGTAAGTACTACCACCCCACTATGTCATCAATTACTGCCTCACTGAACTTTGTGGGACTTGCTTTGGGGTGGACCTGTATAGTACTGTGTTGTCTCCAGATTTAGAAGATTTTGGAGTGTCACTAGATGTATCTTTCTTAATGCCAAGTTACGCTTGATGCCATGGCAAGTTTGACTCCACAAGTAGAAATAAAGAAATATTTTCAGTTAATCCTGCGTTCAGTATAACATTGCATATTCTTTCCATGCCAATACTTTCAAGTTACCTTCTTTAAAGGTAATAAGAGGAAAATGAAAATGTGATGCAAACACCCAGTGTTGCTTTGTAGTTCTTTGAAATAAGTGCACCAGATGCACCTCCATTGAATCCAGTTTGTGAATTAGAAATAAATTCTGTCTTAAAAAATAACATAAAAAATAGTAAATTAGTCTGTTTCTACTAAGTAAGGCAGATATATGACTGGCAACATGGTGACTAGTGACTTAACAGTACTTGTGTAACAGGATATGCTCTGGGTGATACGAATTCCTGACAGCAAATTTTATGTGTATAGAGCGGCTTTCTAAAACATATCTTTTGTCCTTCTTTTTGTCACCAGGCTACATGATCATAATAATTTTGACAGGCTGTGAAAGCCATGCTGTCATAGGTAAGACATTAACAGTGACACAATGACATGAAGTGTTCTGAGTCCACTGCCAAACTTCAAACTATGTATCTGTCCCAGGCTATAATGTGATGTGAACAGCTCTGCTAGGCTCCTCACTGGCAGTTCTTTAACTGCTTCAATCTTATGAGGAGGTGGTAATCTCATCGTTCTGAATAGCCCATTATCGTTATCAGGGCTCTTTTCACTTCAATAAAGAGCAGCTGTAAAAAATGACATGACCTCTGTGACAAGGGGAAGGGGGGCGAAGGAAGCAGCCATTAGTAAACTTCTCCACAGAAGATATGCCAGTAGCTTGAAATGTGTTGTTGGCATCTTGATATTACTGAGTAATGACAGAAAACCAGTCGTACATAGGCAAGAGAAGTAAGCCTCAAAACATACCTCTCCCCACCCCCACAAATATTTTACGTGGCAGAGAGCCATAAATCATACCCATATACAACAAAGTATACCCAGCTGGGCAATTATTAGACTGTAATTTTTACTTAGCAATTCCTAAAACCATCTTGTGCAAGATTATCTCTCATGGTTTACAACCTCAGCCATGTCCCTCGTGTAAGATAATGCTTAGCCCTATGCTTCCCTAAAGGTTACTTTTTATTCTCTATTTAGAGCTAATTCAGTGCAATATCTTTCTTTTTTAAAGATTCAATCTTCCTTTCCCAGCAGGAGGAAATGCTCAGGAGTGCCATTACACATTTGATGTCATATTTATTCTCAGCTGCAAATTCAAGTAATGCAAAGAATTCAATGAGATATCTATGAGACAATCTAACAGATGCTCTTCTAGATGAAATTCACAGTTTACCTCATTACTAGCCTGAATATTTTCTGCAACGTGCACACTAGACTTTCATAGCCAAGATGGTTGCTGGTTTACAGCTAGGTCAAATCATTTTCTACATTTTTAGATTATTTCTATCACCATCTTATACTGTACTGACATTTTATATTAACATTCTAATCTCTGCAGGCCTGTGATGGATTGGTGATTGAGGACATCAGGAATAGGTCAGCATCCAGCGATACAGCTGTTACCAGGGAGTTTCAGAAATATGTAAATATATGTGACAAAGGAGAAGCTATTGAACTCAACAACCTAGGCCCCATCTGCACTTTACATTTATGGCAATATCAAACCATGTTAAACAGCTATAGCTTCCTCCAAAGAATCTTGGGAACTGTAGTTTGCTAAGGGCATTGAGGGTGGTCAGGAGACACCTATCCCCTCGCAGAGCGACAATTCCCAGAGTTCCTTGGGAAGAGGGTTTGATTGTTAAACCAATCTTGAAATTAGTCCAGGACATGTGGATCAGGTTGGTTTATACTGGAATTTGCAAAGATCAATGTCCTCAGGTGTCTCTACTCCCAGGAAAGAAACATATGCACTAACTTTACATTACTTTTGTGATAATGGTAACAAAATGCAGTAAGCCACCAGCATTCAGATTTAGATCCCATTGTTTTCTGTAGCTAAGAACAAACCTTAACTTTTGCTAGTGGCTTGTTTGGAGAGAAAGAAGCTATGGCTTCAGACTACACAAGCCAGCGTGGAAATGATGGAGCATCAAGTAAATTGAGATGCAGTAGAATATATACTTAATGTTCTCTAATAAAACTCAAGGCAGAAGAGCACCAAAGGGAAACAGAACTTCTTGCTCAGCCACAGGTGTCTTCTACATTTGTGAAAGGAAGTCCTCTGACATCACATACAATATAAGATACAACCAAAACTTTCGCTCCTTTAAATGTCCTTTATATCACAGACTAATCAACCCATCACAATAATCTTAACAAGGGGTCAAGGAGTAGAGAACGTAACACTCCAATGCTTTGGCTCACTATCATGCCTCAGTTCTCGCAAAACTATTTTATGTTTTCACATTAGGTTCACAACTATATAAAGGAACCAGAAAGCAGTAAGCTACATAATACAAATGTATTTATCCTTTGATTAACTATCAGCTTTGATAACTACAGATATGAAGTTCTCATTAAATGAAAGTATGAGATCTATGAAATTTCTCACATCTGAAGTCACACACAAACACACACACACACACCCTAAATTGCACAAAATCACGTAGGTAGCTTGTAGACCTACAAGCAACAATTTAGGACATGCACAGCAAAAGGCATGCAATTTATTCATTGTTCCCAAGGTGATTTCTTCATTTATAAAAAATGGAAGGAGTTTAAATAGATACAAAGCAACATCCTCAGAATTCGGAGGGTGTTAACATCAGTTGGCTTAGATATATCAGATGGCAAATTACCTTTGATAGGTCCCCAGCCTCCAAGTAGAAGCAGATAACAAATACATTCCATGTAACCCAGAGGACTAACCAGACAGCGTACTGTAAAAAAAAAAGGGAAAAAGGAATAATGCATCATGAATCCCAAAATCAGCGGTGTTTAAATTAAGCTTAAACTACAAATCTCAAATGACAACAACACCCTAGTATTGTCGATGCATTAAAGCTATGTGGAGTTTCATTCATAAAAGAAAATATTTCCATTCCACTTGGAACAAACTAGTTATAGCTGCTGGTTTTAGAAAACTTGTAGGGCTATTAATATGTCATGTTACATAGAACTGCAGCTTGTGGCAATACTTTAGTGTAATATAAAGCTAAGGATCTCAGTATTTATGACAAAGAAGTTCTATATTTCTAAGTGCCATAGCTGCAGACGAAGATTTGAAATTCTAAAACTGCCTGATACAGGTGTAGAAATTCAGAAACTAGGTCAATGGAGAGTTTCTAACAGTGTAAGGAGGACAGGGGCAGGACTTCCATATTTAGCACAGCTTTCTGTTACTCCTTGTAACCCTCCTTCTTCTCTCCATTGCATCTGCATTCATGGACCAACCTTCTATGCATCCCTTTTTATTTCTTTGCTAGAGTCTTTGCCAAAACAAACAAACAAACAAAAATTCCAAAACAACCTCTGATATTTCTACAAGACTAAATTAAGGGGGGGGGCAGCTTTATGCTAATGTGCCTCATTTTCACAATAATTAAATTGATTATACAGGCCCATTATATCACTTATGTGGAAAATTGTTTTCCAAGCTACTATAAACACAGCCATAAGGCTATGCATCCTCATTTTGTTATTTAGTAAATGTTCTTTGTTGTTCTATCCATGTTAAACACTGTGGCTGTGTTTTAGTTATTCGATGCTATTATACTCCATTTAAGTTTAATTTTACACACTGTCATCATTAAATTCTTTTTATTAGTTTGATACCTCATATTTCTGTGGTCATTACAGTGCTTTTGTTTTTGACCACCTTCCACATTTTGACATCCTTTTTCATAATAATAAATTGCTGTGTGTACCATATGTTATATTTCAAATGCAATCTTTGCATAAAAGTGTGTTTGTGTGTGGGCGGGTGGAATAACAGGATTCAGACCAGCATAGGAGCTTCATTGTGGAGGAAGGGGAAAGTTATTTTGCATTCTGCCTGTACCTCTTCACCACTAAAATGATGCTCCAGAAGTCTCCAAAATTGGAACAACTGGGGGGGGGGTTGAAGCTGTAGGCTATAGGAGAAAGTTGGTATTTGTAAAGATAACCTCCCTCTTCCTGCAGTGGAAGTTTCCATTGGATCTCAGGCAAGTCTGACCCCAACCCATTGTGTTTTGATAAGAATAGTAGTTCTTGTTCTACAATTCAATGAAAATCATTTCGTTCCACTTTGGTCACAGTTTTTGATTCACCATAGTTTGCTATTTTGTTTGAACCAAACAAATTGTGATTAATCTTAACTATGGTTTGTTGAAACAAGCCAACTTCAAAACATGTAACAGGCTTGTTCAACAAAGCACAGTTAAGATTAGAATTATGTCCAGACCTCAAACTGTTATTAAAGTGTAGCTAATCAAAAACCAAAGCAAAAGCTTCAAATCTCCTCAGTGTAGAGACATCGGAGAAAATAGGGGATAGTGTCTGATTCCAAAACCCATTCCCATCATGGCAGAACATGGTGGCCCCATGTTACACAAAAGCATGGCATTTTCATCAATTGCACATATAGCTGTAACCAGAAGAGCATAGTTGAAGCAGGGTCACCAACCCAGAACGTATGATGACTGTAACATTTTATTAGCTATAGCTTCACAGAGGAAAATGGCATGGCATAAGGCCAAGATCCTATTTCTGTGTGATCCAGCAGGACTGTTATGTTCTTATGAAGGAGAGGATGAAAGGGAAGAAGTTCAATGGATATTCATTCTTAGGCCCATGCGCTAGAATTCAAACATCTCTGACACACCTGAACGGCTGTGTGTGAAATAGCTGAAATGTGAATAATTGTCATGCACATGTGTAAACAGTAACTAACATTTCTAAAGGCAAAAATAGGAGAAGTTCTACTATGGAACAGAAAACACAGGCTGCCATGGTTATTAAAGATATTTGGAGTGTGTGATACTCATCATGCAATAGGTAATAGCCTAGCTCTAAAAAGCTTATTGTCCCCTAGTATGGCTCGTGTTCTTGAGCAAATTGTTTAATACAAAGCAACAATCCATCAGTGACTGATTGTGTCATAATGGATAATAGCTTGTTGCACACCCAAGTTATCATGAGATAACTGCAATTATATCAACAATGTCTCCATCAAATACTCTTTGTGTCTGTATTTTTTAAATGCTCAGGCTAGGACCATTATGCTTAAGTGAAAGTTAGCAACATTAGACAGGAGTGCTTTAAGTACCCCAAAATGTTGTTTTCTTAGAAGTAAACACTTACAAATCCCTTCAGTCTGGAAGAAAACATGCAACGATGGTTGCAGTATTGTATCACTGCATGAGAAGTGATTGCTATAATACAAGACATATTTTTGTCCCATATCTTTTTACCATTTTAATCACTATAGCTCAGCTACTGTGTTGGATCCTCATAAACAGAATTCTCCA